AAATTGTTGAAAGATTTTGCAACTACTATGCAACTCTTAGCCGCACTTCAAACACCGTCTGATTACATGTGAATAACCAGGGGCCCAAGCTAATGTCGAGTAAAAGAAAGTAGGTCATTTTTGAAATTGATTTCAGAATATCTCAAGAAGTATATGGAATTTCAGAATGAGCTTTGGTAGAATTGAAGAATGTTTAACTATGAATAGATTTCAATAGAAAAGAGAATTTTAGAGCATTAGAATAAAGAATATTTTATTAGCGAAATTAGGTACCCAGTGTCAGAGTTCAGTACCTTTATTTTTTTTACACACACAATTTTTTTTAAAGCGATCCAAAGGCCTGTGGTCAGTTCTACTAAATTCTTTACAATTTATTCATTTTACAACGCAATGACCACGGATGAAGACGTACATTTTAATTTTGAAAAAAAAGACCTTCAGAATCGGGTGTTTTGACGAAGCCCCTTATTGATTACACCAAGATGCATAAGTTCAGGTTTTTACTGTGAAATCCGGATATATATTCTTATCTTTCGGAATTTGCAAGAAACAGTTCCCGTTAAAAGGTAATTTTTGTAAAGCAATAGGATTTGAAGGATTTTACTCAAACAACTGTTTATTAAAGCATTTTCTATGAAATTAGTAGATTATTCCTGATGTATTTTTTAATAATGTAATTCTCTTTTGTGAGCAGGCTTCGAACTCGAAAGGATTTTACACCAGCCACTCCTTAAAACGACAGATACTCGATTAAACGGCGCAGAACTAGTTGGACAAATGGTCATAAATCAACGGACGAAATTACAGATTCCGTTGGAATTTCGTGAGCTAAATTTTGTGCTAAATGCGGAAAAATGGATATTTCAATAAACAAAAAAGCCCAAAGTTGTGTGTAAGAAAACACATGCTTCTCATTCATCTTTTGTGTCCATTGGATTCTATATATGTTCCGTGGATCAATCATTGTGAAATGAATCTATTATATAGCAATGAACAGTGAATTTAGGAAATTTATAATCGGAGCCAGGGATGCGTTTACAATAAAAAATCTGAGACATTCAATTCATTGGATTATTTGTGCCATTTTCAATAGGATTTTTTGTGAAATATTAACATTTAACGCTACTAATTTCCTACATTGTTCATATTAAATTGTTTGATTTGACTTTACCTTTTTCGTGGTGCTTACTTATTTGCCTCGTCCTTTGTTCTCATTTTAACGTTACCTGTACCTGTCCAATAAGTTGAATCTTATTGGACACCTACAGGTAACTTATTGGACGGGGTGCAGGGCAATAACAAATTTATTGAACCAAGTTTAACAAAAGATGACGTCACAAAAATGTTTTCATACAAGGCTATTCATTAAAATGTATATAATGATGAAAGTAAATGACATGTGTTGACATCTATTAAAATGAGTGAAAGATTCAGGGGTTGAAATAATTAAATATAAATAATGACTCTTTCATATTTCAGTCTCCATGCATTAAAATATCAAGAGTCCAAAAAGTGACACTGTTAAAAAAAAAACAATTAGATTCGTAAAACATACGAGGTTTAATCCAAATGTTTGTGGAATTTCTTTCTAAAATTGTATCATGATTTGATGAAAGCCAACAACAGGCATATTCATAATATGAGTCATAATGCAACGATATTGGAAAATTTCACCACTTTCCAGTTACCAATAAGGTCACACGAGCTTTCTGAAAATGGATAGTTGTAAAACCCGGAAGACTTGCTACCGGTAAACCATTAACTAAATGCATTTTTCCCAAGCCTTTGTCAGGAATATACGCGTTTAAGACAGATTTATCCCGGGATTTTCACAAAACGTATGACTTGACTGAAATTTGACGTTGTCTAACACCTTAAAGATGAACAATAAATCATAAGCTAAAAAACTAAATATCCAGGAAAATCGGTAAAACTCTCACACAAAGGTTATCAAAAGATCAAGCAATCATAATAATGACATAATGTTCGTTTTATATACCACATAGGGCAGTTTAATTCTCAATTCACATATTAAGAATAAAAATGATAACAAATGCGATAATGTCTCCCCTGCATTGCCAAACAACCGTTTCTATAGCAACTGCCATAGAGATATTATCAAAGATATATAAAATATTTTTAATTTAAAATATTCAACATGTCTATATTTTCATTTGAAATTATCAACCAATTTCATTTAAAAAAAATAAATAAGATATGAACAATTCCACAAACTTTTGGATCAACCCTCATATAGTGAAGGATAAAATATGGTTAAAATAAGAAAAAACGAAAAGGAAAGTCCAACATTTTTTTTTAGTAACAATGAATTCTCCAATGTATATTTATCCAGTTTCTGACTTTTAGAATCTTAGGACAAACGTAAATGAGGCGACACTTTCTGTCTAATTCGGTGAATAATATCAAAAAAATGAAATGGTCTAATCAATTGAAGCAAACCACAGTCTATCATAAAGGGTTCCATGGTCACTTTCAGATATAGGTTTCAGTTAATTATCAAAACTGCAAGATTTATAGTGTAAGGCACAACATAATCTACAGACAATAACGCCATATATTAAAAAAAATAAAACAGCATGTAATTCTGCTGAACATTGCCAGGAAAAAAATGCACTTTAATATTTTCTTACGAATAATTATGATGCCATGCAGAGAATGGATGGCGAAATAGTATAACCTGGGCTGGTGAAGTATGCTTTTATTTTAGACTCTTATTATTATTTATTATATGAATCTTGTTTTCAAATGAACTTGATCTCTTTAATGCATACATACAAATGTTAATTATTATCTGTTGTAAGTTTTTATTTGGTCATGAAATCTTTAAAAATGAACGTCTTACGTACTGCAAAATTTCAAAGAAAAAATAAGGGTTTCAGAAAAAGTTAGCCCCCCCCCCAAATATTAGATAACAGGATGTGAATCATTACTTGGCATTATAACAGATCTTTGACTGATAGAAATATACCATAGAGTTTACATACAAATGAACTACAATATGTATGGCTTTGGATTTAAGTAACTGTCAGCAAATTAACAATCGTATTACTATGATGTATCTATTCCATCAAAATATACAATTTGATAGAATCTATTAAACTTAAAATCGTTCATGTAGATCAACAATCAAATTTACCTCAATTTGATATGGAAATAATAAGTACCAAAATACATTTTGCTAACATTGACAGAAAATATAACAATATAACGTATACTGTGTGCTGCAGTGTAATTTGACTCATTCACATTTTCGATGTTATGCTGATTGTTTTTTCCTTATAAATAAACGGAAATTATTTTTTTGTATTCAAAAAGAGTCTATGAAATTTACTACTAAGGTGAACACCTTTGTGACTGATTTGCTATTTAAGCAGAAATGAAGAATGAATACATGCAATGTAGGTCAGAATTAAAATCCAGAACTTCGGTGTTGATTTCAGCACAGCACAAAGGGATATAATTCATACAATATCTATGGTCAGAATTAATCTTAATTTATTTTCTCAATGATTCATGTAACTGTCAGTGAAAAGTCGAAGAGATCGATTGTACTCTAAATAAATTAGTGTCAACTCCTGTGTTTCATTGAATAAATAAATCATTTTCAGATTTAAATTTACGTATTTTTTTAAATTTTATTGTATCGAAAAAAAAATTGTTTGTGTTTTGTTAATATGTGTTTCCTAAATTCGGTTCTTTGAAATACTAATTTAAAATAGCTGCACGTGTGATATGAAAATATTGATACAAATGGGTAAATTTCGTCCCTGTTATCATGTAAAAAATGTGACACTCCAAATAAATAGTTAATATATATTTTAAACCCACAAAGCTATTGCTTCAAATTTTTATCCCTTTTCGCGCAGATATTGATTGATGTAGACTAGCAAGCTTTTTAAAAAGATATTACTTGTGTCTAATTTCATATCACAAAAGGTAAAAAGCTTTTATGAGACAAGAAGAATAACTCTTCCTGATTTATCTCGTCAGGTTTTACTTCAAGAGTTTTTCATTACTTTATTTTTCAGATAATTTGCTGTTTTGATTTCAGTAAAAAAAATCAGTTTTTCAAATTGGATATCTTTAATAAATCTCAGTCAAAAGAATTCATACATACTATTTTTGAACTGAAAAATACATACATACCTATGAAATAAAAAAAAGTCAGAACTGGAATAGAACCTTTACCATTCCTCTCTATTTGACACATTATCATGTTTACACGAAAATGGCTCTGTTATTATTTCTACTTTCAAAGAGAGTTATAATATTCCTCTCTATTTGACATTTTATCATGTTTACACGAAAATGGCTATGTTATTATTTCTACTTTCAAAGAGAGTTATAACATTCCTCTCTATTTGACATTTTATCATGTTTACACAAAAATGGCTCTATTATTATTTCTACTTTCAGTGAAAGTTGCTGAACTTGTTTTCTGGATTTAATTATTTATTTACAGTTAAAGAAATACCCAATGTATTCATTTTCAAACTAAAGTCAAGAGGCCTTCCGATTGTAGCAGTATCCCTATTGAGTTGGATTGTTACAGGTAAAACATATTAAAAATCACCTTTGGAATAATGTAAAGATTAAAACCAAAAAAAGGGAGAGGCTATTTACTTTTAAATTATTTGAAAATTGGTAGCAGGTCATTTTTTCTGAAGCAAATATGACAATATTACTCCCCTTGACGTTACTTTTAAAATATGCTCAATTTGAAGACATTTTTGGTAGGAAAAATTGTCTTATCGTCTACATCGAAATAAAAATATAACGAATGAATCTTATTTTATACAATGTTTTACTATATAACATTTTTTTTAAACCGTAAGGTATATATATGTTATACATGGTGTGCATAAGATATGTTAAAAGAAACTTCACTCCTTAAACGTTATTATTGACTTTTAGCATATTTACAATGACTTGTTTATGTGAATTGAAGTATATGAAACTTTATATAACTGGGAACTCACATGGTCGTCCTAGACTCAGAGGAGAAAGAAAAAGTACTCACCAAATATATTGAAAGTAAAAGGATAGGGGTGGATCTATGTATGAAGTTGCGCTCTAAATCTAAGGTCAAATTAACCATTATGTACAGACCCTAAACCGTGCTACTACACCTCAGAAACGAACCGTACCGTTCCGTGCACAAAGCGTACCGTACCGTGAACAAAGCGAACCGTTCCGTGCACAAAGCGAACCGTTCCGTTCACAAAGCATACCGTACCGTCCACAAAGCGAACCGTTCCGTGCTCAAAGCGTACCGTACAGTCCACAAAGCAAACCGTTCCGTGCACAAAGCGTACCGTACCGTCCACAAAGCGTACCGTTTCGTGCAAGAAACGAACCGTACCGTTCTTTGGTTAATTATGCAAACCACGTCCCCAATGATTTTTGAACTGTGCAATGACCAATTAAGTCATTTTTGGTTTATTTTTCGCAATAGCGCCCGTGAAAGGAGGAGGGAGTTTGTGTCTGGCTGTTCGAAACGCCATTATCAAGTATCATGCATCTGGGCTTTCATCTGTGAAAATAAAGGAAACTACTCGAAATAAACAACTTTAAGGTATCCGATCCATAATAAACTCAGGTTCCATGAATTTGAATGCATAACAAATATATATTGGCAGAATACTCAGTTTATGTAGACATACTCTTCATATTTCAGTAACAATATGTAGGAGCGGAATGTGTACCAATTTTTTTTACCTTGACCCGTCCTTGAAGAGTTATTCCCCTTTGCTATTAATCAATAAAATTCATTTCTGATAAAAACTAAGTGGTGAAAAATTATTTTTGAAACTTTAATCTATTCTTAATAATTATATACATCTTTTCACCGTGGCATTTTTGATATTCATAGTATTTAATTTTTTATTTTCAAAAATGTGCTTGTTCCCATAGACTTCAATGCATTCTTCATTAATTAATTACTGCTTAATTAATGCTTTGGTAATTATATTTTTGAAAATTTCTCCTGGTAAATCCTTTTCTACTCTTAACTGCTTTGAATTAGTTTCAGAGTATTCAATACAGGATGGATATTTAACGTTAGAAAATTATGTACTTATATGGGTCGGATACCTTAAAACAACTAGACAGAGTTTGAGACGATTCCTTATATGCTATAAATTAGATCAACTCGTTGTGTTTGTGATCAAAGGTACAGTACAGACCACGGGTTTTTCCCGCAAAACACGTGGCACCGTGAACCTCAAACTCGATAGCGGCATCCTTGATGTCAGCGATCGTGGACACCATGTAACAAGGTGTATCACAGTTCCCCATTACGGATCTGATAATAAATATTTTCATTTTCTTTATTTGAGCAAATTAAATCAACTTCTTTTTGAAATATTTGTTGTACCTAAATATTCGTAATTAAACTATACAGATGTTTAAACAAATTCCCTGATTTTCTTGACTTAATATTTTAATTTTGCCCATTTAATTATTGAATCAGATACGTGATCCTTTTTGTCGTAAGTGTGCATTCATATGTAGTTCATATCAGATGCGTGATTGTACTAATTAATCATTAATTTTGTAAGAATTTTAAAACATATATGAACTGTCTGGAGTAAAAAAAAAAACCGTATTAGACTTGCACATTAATTCTGCTCAGATAATTACTCGGCGAATCATTGATGCAGTTAGACTTACACTGAAAATCGGTAATTATGTCAAATATGAATTAAAATATTACATGCAGTAAACAGGAAGATTTTTATATACTGAACGGATAGAGATGATAATCTGACTAATAAAATTGTGATCAACTTACAAGCTACATACAAAAAAAAAAAAACAATTTGCGAAAAATTATAGATATTATAAGGTTTGGTACACTGTACCCCTTTCCCCTTTCGTGAAAACGATACGAATTAACAGGTTGTAAGTTCTTTAGAAGTGTACAAAATGTTACGTTGTTGTCAGTTTTAAAAAAAAATCATACCCCGGTAACCTACAGGACACCTGCTTTTTTGTGTCTGGAAAATGATAATTTACAAAATAAAATGAAAATAATAAAGACAATGATTTTTCTCAATCCTCTTTCAAGCCACATTATGTTTGATATCCCCCCCCCTTTCTAGAAGGCGATACTAATCAGCTACTAAAACTCATCAAAAGTCTGCGAATTTTTGTGACGCTATTGTACATTTCTTTTTAAAAAGCTAAGTAAAATGATAATTAAGGGATTCATGCTTATCTTCTAATTGCGTCTGAAATGGATATTTTAGGAAGAAAATTTCTAATCAGTGTTGTGGTGAATCCTGGAAGATGAGTTTCGCTGGATGTCATTTCAGTGAGTTTTAAAAAATGCATGTACACTTGATGTGATCAGAGCTAAATAATTTGAAAGGTGTGTTAAACACACGGCACCCCGGTCCTCTGGCTGTGACCCAATATTTTTTAAACAGGTGTGAACTGACCATAAGAATGTTTCAAATCACAAGAGAAAAATTCTTTCCTCGTTTCTCAGGGTCATCTAGCGTCATGCGATTTTGACTGAAAAGTGATGCAAAAGGATTTCGTGCATGTGCAGAGAACGAATGCATTGCGCCATAGTTGTAAATAGGCTGAGTTTGAACGAAAGTTTTGGTAATTAAATAGCATCATAGACAGATTAAATGTGACTTTGACGATGTAAATAAAACGGAGAATGAGAATAAATACATTTTTTTTTACATATTAAGAAACAAGGGATTGCATCTCTCTCTCTCTCTCACTCTCTCTCTCTCTCCCTCTCACATCATAGTACATGTATTTACACACTTATTTACTTATTAAAATAAAGAAAAAAATATTAAAATAATTACTTAGACTGAAAGGATTTTTGAAAACATAATGCTAGTTTCTGAAAAGAAATGTTTTCTGTTACAAGAAAAACGCCCGGAAGTCATTTTATTGATTCCGAGTTTCTGATGCCGATTTTCGTACCGTTCAGGTGGTTTAGTAGCACGGTTTAGGGTCTGTACAATGTACATATAATATGTATATAAAAGTGTGTATAGATTTGTATATTCTAAATATTGATAAATCGTAATTTGACACCGAATATCGAAACACCCTAAACATTCTCTAAAATTCAAGTAAAACACTAGAATATTTGATTTTAAATTGAAACACACCCCCCCCCCCAAATAAAAATAAGAAGAAACTCATACGAATCTAAAAATATATTAAAGGAAAATTGCTCAGAAATTACTTATACCCACGTATATACTGGAAATAAAATAGTTTTCTTTTTTGTTTCAGAGATGAACTTTTTCAACATATATCAAGAAAGAGATATTAGTATGAGAGAGAGAAGGGTGGGGGGTGGGGTGGGGAGAAAGACAGATGACTTGAAATATTTCAAGGGAAAACGTGTTTATCATTAAATCCTCGGAAATGCTTTTGTTCTGAATACGCGATCTGCAGAACTGTAGCTCTCTGAGTAAGAAAAAATGAACGTAAATCGAAAGCTGCATGGATCTCTGCTACAACCGTCTGACAGACATAACCTACATCATGTTGTAACATAAGCAGCACCTCTATCACATTAACTGTAACTCTATCACATTAACTGTAACTCTATCACATTAACTGTAACTCTATCACATTTACAGGAACTCTATCACATTAACTGTAACTCTATCACATTAACTGTAACTCTATCACATTAACTGTAACTCTATCACATTAACTGTAACTCTATCACATTAACTGTAACTCTATCACATTAACTGTAACTCTATCACATTAACTGTAACTCTATCACATTAACTGTAACTCTATCACATTAACTGTAACTCTATCACATTAACTGTAACTCTATCACATTTACAGGAACTCTATCACATTAACTGTAACTCTATCACATTAACTGTAACTCTATCACATTAACTGTAACTCTATCACATTAACTGTAACTCTATCACATTAACTGTAACTCTATCACATTAACTGTAACTCTATCACATTAACTGTAACTCTGTCACATTAACTGTAACTCTATCACATTAACTGTAACTCTATCACATTAACTGTAACTCTATCACATTAACTGTAACTCTATAACATTTACAGGAACTCTATTACATTAACAAGAGCTTTATAACATTTACAGGAACTCTACCACATTAACTGGAACTTCTGACATTAACTGGAACTCTTTTATCTAAACAGGAACTCTATTATATGAACAGAAACTCTATAAGATTGCTCAGAAGGAATGAGACATTGAGGCTGACAAAAACTGTAAGTATTATGGTTTAATAACCCCCAGATAAGAAAAATAACTCTTACATGGATATGTTTTTGGGTGTTCTTTTCTTGAATCAAGTAAAATTGTAAATTTTGTTAGTCTATGAATGATTTAATCAAAAAATAGATTTTAATCGGAAAATTCTAAAAAAGTAAAGTTTACATAGAGACAAAGATAGATCAGATACTAGAAAAAAACATTCTTGCAATGAATCAAGAAGCCTTCCTCTCAAATAAAGACTTAGGCACTCCAAGTTATTTTTTCGATATCAAGCGCCCGCCTGCGCCTTGCGTTTTAAAAAAACAGCTATACCAGATATAAACAACAACAAAAAAAAGTTGTTTATTCGGGAAAAAATTGCATTTGCTAATTTTTCCACATTTGAAAACATGATGAAATGAATTTCTTCAGGCTAAAAATTAATTATTTTACTTATTAAATTTTAATAATTTTTATTTTCATTTATGTCATACGACAATAATTTTTTTGACCTGCTAATTTCTTTTTCTCGGGATCTGGTGCGAACTTGAGTATGAAGTTTTTGGAAAGTTTAAACATTTTAAACTGAATGATGGTAGTAAATCTTAATTTCCTGATATGAAAGAGATCGGATCGAAAATTTTTACATCTATAAAATATAAAGTATATTTTTCATATAACTACTTGTATTTCAGACTTAAAGCTTATTTCTCATATAAGGAATGCATAAGCAAAAAGGCATTTCTTTTAAATTGATACATCAGATATACATATATAAACCCCTTCACTTATGTTAGAGGTTCAAATATAAAATCTGTCTCTTATAGAATGATAATTATTCATAAGCTAATACACACTTTATCTGTAAAAGTGCTTTTATGGATTGACACTTTGAACCTCTCTTAAACACAAAAAAAAGATTCAATTGTTTTAAAAAATACGTATTCTCTATATTGTAAAAAAAAACCTGAAGTTTGGAGTACATTTTATATCATGGTAAAATACTATGCTTGCAATGTAAGGACAATATTCTAAATTCATTTTTTCTCTTTCCAGTTTGTGCAGATTTTATTAAGCATGGTGTAAAAAGTTCTAAATATAAACACATCCCTAATGCTAAGGAATGTACAGTAAAATAAAAATTGCATTGTTTAGATTTTTCAAGTTACATTTCACAAACGCCAAACATATAATATTTTAACGAGAGCGAGTCTTATTATTTCTGACTCAGGGATTTTGAAATTGTTTACTGTTATATTTATTGTTTTAAGACTAAAAAAATAAAATGCCTACCGTCCCGATTTCTTTAAGGGTCATCTCAAATGTTTATTTTTACTATTGAACCCTATGGGAAAATATTGGAAAAGCGCCAAATAACTTTTTTCCATATTTTTGTATTTCTGCCCTAGTTATTTCTTTTTCATTCAAATAGATAGAAGATGTAGTTAAAAGTCACCAAATTGTGAAATTTGGAAAAAAAATGACCATCTCTATTGGTCTAGGAATTAATTACTAAGTTTATTTTTTCAAAGTCCAATACCTCTAAATTTGCCACTTTACGGTATAAATACATTACGGTATAAATACATATCAGTGCAGATGAATCATTGGTGCATAATTTTTACGGTAAAAATAGCAACTTTTGGATTCCTTGTATGTTTCTTTGGATGACCTGTCAACAAGTTTAAGTATAATATCCATGGACGTCTTGAATATACAAACGTCATTCTTCAGTGTCATGCATTAATTACAAAATCGGAAAATGTTGACGTCGTTAAAGCCATATCAGCATTTTTTCCTTATTATTATTGGAAAAATCACCCTTTTGGACCAGTTAGGGTTTTAGATAATGTTTATTTTGTAGTTAAATTAAAATATTTGGCTAAGGTGTATTGTCGCACAAATTACTGCATGAAATAAATAACCTGCGCCAAGTCATGCGCACTTTAATTACACTCGGCCTCGTTAAATATATTTACGCAGCAATACAACACATAACACAAAAATACATTGAGAGGTTGTATACAGAACTCTTAAGTGTGCAGTATTTAGAGCATCCTTAATGCTAGACCTCTACCATTTAGTTTCCAATCAGTGAAACATATGGAGAAAACGAACAGTATTCAAGATTCATATAATAATACGAAATAGGAGTATAGCAAATATAGTATAATTTCACTGACATTGCAGATATCTGATTGCTATACTAGTAGTTAAGTTAACCAAGAAAGCAGTTAAGATTATACAAAAAAAAATATGTGTTCTTGACCTCTGTTTCGTTTTCTTGACATTATCTTGTACATGTAAGATTCCTCTAGGATCTTTGCCACACCAGAGAGCGAATCCGACCCCGCCTCCAGGATTCACCATTAAATCTTCGTCACTTCCGGGAGCGGGGATGGGCGCATGAGCGGAGACCTTTGTTCCGAAGTTCACGATCCTCGGTGTTTATGAAGGACTTATTCACACTGTAGACAAGAAGGAGGATTTTTATTCATGGCAGGTAAAATCATACAGAGAATCAAACAAAATAAAAACAAAAATGAAGTTACATATTTTAGTTACATATTCCTAGTCTTCTGTCGGTGAAACATGATGGACAAAAGGTTTCCACTGTTTTCGTCCCCCGCCTGTCGGCCTGTTTATCCGTCCGTCTAGCTGTCCCTATCCTTTCGTCCCCTGCCTGTCGGCCTGTTTATCCGTCCGTTTAGCTGTCCCTATCCTTTCGTCTCCCGTCTAATGCAACACTCTCACAATGCTTTATTATTTTTTAGATTCTTTTAATCCCTAAATATTCATTACCTTAAAGTAGTTTTGATCAATATTGATCTGATTGTGTTAAAGTATTGAATATATTAAATATTCCGAACTAAAATTAATTCTTAACAATTAGGATCTTATTGTGTTCAAAAGTAGATAAACAGGGGACCAATGGTACTTACAACATAGATGCAGAAGATCCGGCCTGTAGTAACTGGTTACGATTCGTTAATTCTCCCGCCAAATATCAACAGGAAAATGTCATCCCTATCACGTGCGAGGGCATTATCTTCTATATGACGTCACGTGGCGTAGAACCGGATGAAGAGCTTCCGGTCTGGTATGGGGATGGATATGGGAGGTTTTTAGGCGTAAACCGCATACATCCGGTAATTGAACAATATAGTACATCTAGCTAATACATTTTATAGTTAACTGTTTTCATTCGGGTATGTAAACAATCTACTTATCAAGTAATTTTACAATATATACTCGATTCTCATTATATCGCGGGTTTCATTGTATCGCGGTATATTCCAAAAAATCAGATACATAGCTCATATGCTTTTTGTTGAAAAAATATCAGTCTATCATCTCAGTGTAAATTTTTGTGATGATTAAAAAGTATGGAAAATGTGTCGGAAAAAAATAATCAAATAAAACATAATTTTACAGAAATCAATCTCCGTTTTTATTATTTTTAGCCCGCTGAGTTTATAACCTAGTAAAATCCATATATAAAGTTCATGTTTAGAAAGTCTTTAGTTTCTATAATTGTTTATTTTCATACGTAAAATTACATGGTAAAATAAAAAAATAAGAATTGAAGTCCATGTCAATCTCAAGTTTCCACGTTTTCCCATAACCGCGATACTATGAGACTCTCTAGTTTAGGAGTTAAAAATAGACTACAACTAAGACGATGCAAGCTTGGGAAATAATTTGATACTAAAAAGTAGGCCATAGTTTGCTTTATCAATATCATTTGATGAAAGTTAAATTAAAAAAAAAATCAAATTACACTTTTTTATGCAAAAGATTTAAGTACCGCGATATAATGAGACACCTGTATACAATGTAGTCATTATTTTTTTTTTTATTACATGCTGTTGTTCCTTGGGAGGTTTCAAGGGGTAAGCCTGGGTAATAAAACAATTTATTGATAACATTTAACTTTTATTTAAATGAAATGAATACAATATTTTTTTTCAAGTTTCTCTAACTTGCCTTTGAATACAAATAGATACTCTTTCATCAAAAAATAATGCAGACTATATTCAAACACCTTTGATAAATAGTGAGATATTTTTTAGCGTTCTACAAATCTGATTTTAAATTTTTGAAATGAAGAAAACAAACTTCACATTGGATCTGGAAAGCATATTTTCTTAGTGTATCAAAATTGTAAATTATTAATTTCATCCAAACAAGTATTTTTGGACTCGAACACTACCAAAGGCACTTATTTTCTTTTGTTCTTTAAATTGAATTGTAGATTTGCCTTCGATTTATTATGCTCATTAGAAAATTTTCTATTTTTACATATGCTACCACGCAAAAAAGGATACGCTCCCTTTCAATGTCTTTTTAATATGTATACAACAGATCAAATTTTATCAATTTTTAGAGCAACAGGATGTTAAGCATCAAATCATGTCGTATAGGCGGTGTTTAAAACAAACATTCTAGACAAGATACTATTAATCCTTATTCATAAAAGTAAAATATAGGTTTTTGAGTATAATATAATTTTTTCTTGTCCTTTTTTGTAGAAGTTGATCTCAACGGTTCTTTTGCATTTTGTGCCAATGTTTTGACATTTGACGACAATGAAAGACTCATTTTTGATAGCTGGAAACCTGTGACGTATCAGAACTGGAATCCTAACGACGAGGGTGAGACAGCAGTTGACCCAATCTTTGGCCTCCTTTTGACTTATCATAACGACGGTAGGTGGCGCTGGGTGACGGAGAGAAACTACACGTACTATACGGGAGAAGACGGACTGAAACTATAGATTCCTGTTAATAATCAGAACTACAAGGTTTGTATGTAAGGCACAACGTACACAATTACATAATCTATAGTGAATTAGGAAAATATGCACATATATAACAAAAAGCTAAAATAACATGGGATTCTGTTGTAAATTGATAGGAAAAATTCATTTTAATATCTTCTTACGAATAATTGTGACACAATGCAGAGAATGGGTGAAGAACTAGCATAACCCAGGCTGGTTAAGTAAAGCGTAAACTATGTAGGCTGGATTTTGGAAAATTCTGGATTATTGACTCTGCTCAAATTATGCATAAACTTAAATAAAAGAGAATCAAAGATTTATATCTCCAAGAGTTACTATGTCTGAATGGAAAATTTGAAAAAAATCCGTTTTATTTTAAACTCTTATAATTATTTATAATTAGACTCATGTTTTTAAATGAACTTCATCCCTAGAGTGAATAGATACAAATATTCATAAGTATTTGTTGTTAGATATTTTTTGATGAGATCATTAAAAATGTGCGTCTTATATACTGCAAAATTTCAAAGATTGATTGATTGTATATTGTTAAACGACCCTCTTGAGAATTTTTTTACTCATATGGATACGTCACCATCTGCCGGTGAAGGGCTTCAAATTTTTACCTTTACTCGGCACTCAGGGTCATTGAGCAGTGAGGGATCTTTTTCGTGAAAGCGCCTGCCGCTGATACGGGACTGCGGTTTTTAAGGTCTCATCCGAAGGACCAGCAACTTTCACTTCATAGTACCGAGCGCATGGCAAAGGAACAGTTGCTACCCATTTTTTATCGACTTAGGTCAGTCGCAGCCGAGATTCGAACTTGCGACCTCCCGTGTGTTTTAGAAAAAAAGTTCCCCAAAACATACAGACAACTGGAGGTGTGTCATTACTTGGCATTATAACAGACCTTGAATGATTAAGAATTAGGGCTGGGCAATAATATCGATATTTCAATATATTGCAATACAATTACAAAAAAAATCTTGCCGCAATACGATTTTGTAATATCGATATATTGGCAATATTCTAAGACTAAGCAATTTTGTCATAAATATAAAAATGGACTTCTGAAAGTTTGTTATTAAGCCAAACAGTAAGACAGAAGTTGTTTTGTGGGAGTTTTTCATAACTTAAAAGAAATCAACAAGTTTTTTTCCCGTGTTGGTTACTTATCATGTTATGTACATTCTGCATGTAAATCAAAGTAAATATAGTAAGAAAAAGCCATTTTTATGACATTAAAAATATTGCAATACATATTGCAATACAGTTAAAAATATCGCAATATATCGCAATACGAAATCTCGGGCCAATGCTCAGCCCTATTGAATATTCAATATATTTTTTCCCTCAACCATATGCATACACATTTATTTCAAGATTCATTGTTTTTGATTTAAGTAAATGTCATCAAATAAACAACTGCATTACTATTATGTACGAGGGTCATTCAAAAAATTCGTAGACTTTTGTCCTAACTTTTTTATTTAACGTCATTTCATATCCAAATATGGTACAAATATTTTAACAACAGATTCAAATAATTTGAAAAAAAAAAAAATTGGAATATATCATCATATTTATTAAAATTACCAAGGATTTAGAACAGCAAAAATGGGGTCACGGAGCACCGTCAAAATCGATTAATTTTATAATTTTCACTTTAAAGTATTTACAGCTATACCTCTAATAAATGGAGCTGAAACGAAATAAGATTCACATGTTTAAATAAAGTATTGCTGTATTAATTAAAATAAAATCAGGTTATGTAATATCTTGTTCCATTTAAAAGATATCAGCTTCTAAATACATATGGACTTGATTAAAAAAGGCAAAAAACCATGACGTTGGAGGACGTCACGGAGCAGCAAGTAGCAATAAAATTAGACTTTACATTCGGGAAACTTTTTTTCAAGCTTAAAAAATCCTTATAAATCAGGATATGTATGAAAAAAAATCTGTGTATTTGTATTAAGTTGAAAATACTAGTTTTGAGTGGTAGTGAATTTGAATCGGACAATGGATTGTCTGCAAAGAAGCAGGTTAATGTTAAAAATATTGTCAAAAGAGATAGGAACGTCATTGAACGTGATGTGTGCTTCAATGTTGCAGAAATAATAAAGTTGCATGGTAAATCAAAGAATTTTAAAACAATAACATTCTAATTCAAGCTATATTTGTACATTTGTTAGCAAACCAGGTGTTTAGTATTGTGGATATGTGTTTTGAATGGAGAAGACGAAACAAACCGTGTTTGAAATAACAAGAATGCTTATATTTGAACGTGATGTGTGCTTCAATGTTGCAGAAATAATAAAGTTGCATGGTAAATCAAAGAATTTTAAAACAATAACATTCTAATTAAAGCTATATTTGTACATTTGTTAGCAAACCAGGTGTTTAGTATTGTGGATATGTGTTTTGAATGGAGAAGACGAAACAAACCGTGTTTGAAATAACAAGAATGTGTATACTTTTGACAAACTTTCTCAGGGTTGTTTTTGACGTTACAATATTGGTTAACCGTGCTCCGTGGTAACAAAACATGTTGCTTTTAATTTTGGCTAACGTGAGTTAACGTGAGTTCTGTTTAATCAAATGGAATGAAACTTCACACCTCGACAAAATAAATGTTTATGTTTACGAAAATGTGTTGATCTCTAATCTTGTAATGATCATATGACGATGAGAAGCAATGTCTACGTATTTTTTGAATGACCCTCGTATCTATTCCACTAAAATATATAAATTGAAATTAAAGTAAAAACTGTTCATGTAGGTCAACAAACCAATTCACCTCAATTTTGTAAAGGAAATAATAAATAAGTACCAAATTAAATTTTGCTACCATTGACAAAAAACATAAAAATATAAGGTGCAATATATAAAGATATAAGGTATAATATGTGTTGTAATGGACTTTGACAGTGACAATCAAGTCCAATCAACTTCAGTCTAGATTTCACCACAGTACAAAGGGAGATAATTCATACATCATCCACGGTCGGAATTAATCAATAGTTCTTTTCTCAATGATACATGTAATTGAATAGACAAAAATCAATTGCACTACTTTGATTTCTAGATAACTATAAATTTATTTCTGTGTTTTATTGAATAAATAATTCATTTTCAAACACATTTGATTGTATGCAAAGGATTGAATTTTATTTAATTGAAGAGAATTTCATTTATGTTTTGTTTATAAAATTTGTTTTCCTCAATTCGATTCTTAGAAATACGAATAAAATGCATGTGACATATGAAACTATTGATACAAATCGGTTAATACTTATATAGTCGCTGTAAGCATTTAATATTCGTGAAACCCGCTTTTTTTAAGACAATAGACCTGATGAATGAAACTACCATATCTTTTTTTTCTAAAGTGTGTTTCAATTTTTCCGTGCAATTAAAATACTCATTTAAAATCAATTAAACATTTCCCAGAAGGAAGACGCTAATGAATAATTAATTTTTAAACATAATTTATATTTTATTTGGTAGTTGATTCAATTAAATGCTTCCCAATCGTATGTATTCTTATAATCAATAAATATACTTTCTTGAAGGAAATTAGATAAATGTAGAAATTGAATGATGTATTACATGTTTCCGATGAACGGCTTCTAGTGAAGAGATAGTATTAATTTTTTTGATTTACTACATAGAATAGAACAGTATGTGTTAAACAACACAAATTATAAACATGCCAAATTAATAATAACAAATAAAGCATTTGCCGTAATTCAAACAGCCATTTAGAAACAACCATGTTATAATAATAATATTTCTACACTGATTTCGGCTTTAAGATTGATGTAATGTGATTGAGTTCTTCGCTCTATTATTCGAAAATTTTCGAAATGTAAGCATTAAATCACGATTGAAAATAAATTAGATATAGATAAAACACAAAAATCTATCATCGAAAAAAAGAGGAAAAAACAGATTCTACTATTATTAATTTTTAATTTGTTATATGCTTGCGTTAAATTTAAATTTTGTAAAAATAATTGATCACTAAAATCTGTCAGTGTACGTTGTGTATGTATAGTTTCCTGTTAGTTAACCGGGGACGGGGGGACACCTAATTAAGGTCTATTTTCTGACAAATCGGTTTACTGTACACTGATCATCTGTTAATCTTACCCCGTTTCTAAATGTATATACATCTGGTCGGATGTCATGTTTAGTCTGATCGGCCGTTCCTCTGAAAATCGATTTTGAAGTAGCAATCATTGAAGACCGACTCTATTTTGACAGCTACTTACCGCTGCAAAAAAAATAAGGAATTAATTAGAATTATTTATGACGTTAAAGCCATTAAAAAGTTTTTCATGGTAAAAGTCAATCTTTGAAAACTAAACATTTGTTTATCAGTAGCACCCCCCCCCCCCCCAAAAAAAAAGGACAGAGATTTTTTTTTTTTCATGAGATTATATAGTTATATTCCTGTGAATTCTGTAGCGGAATGTTTCTTTTAACACATGAAATAAAAATACCAGACTATGGCATTTTTTTTTATTTTTGAACTTCGTTCTTTTTCATTATTTTTACCAAATCAAGATATGAGCGAACTCTTCAATTATAATATTGATAAAAAATCACTATAAAAATAATTTTTCACCCATATAAACAATATTATCGACTGAGTAATGTGACTTAATGGTAGCTTAATGGAGTTTGGACATTAAGCACCTGTAAGTCTAGCCTAATGGTAGGTTAATGGTGACTTAATGGTGGTCTAAAAGTTTCCATTAAGGACCTGTAAGCCACCATTAAGCTACCATTAAGCTACATTTAAGCACTTATTAAGGACTTTGAGTTGGCTTAATGGTAACTTAATGGTGGTGTAAATGTTACTTAAAGGTGCTTAATTGTGACTTAATGGTGACTTAAAAGACAACCATTAAACCACCATTAAGGACCTATAAGCCACCATTAAACCGGACTTAAAGGGTGTGTTTCATCTTGTGTATTTCTCTGCT